AAAGAGGTTGCCTGAGATGCCCAGGTTCCCAGGGAAGGTTTCCACCAGTCCTCTCGGTGAGCTGAGCACTCCACTCTGGGGGGGTGGGGGTGGGGCAGCCAGGCAGTTCCACCTCAGCCAAAGGAAGTCCACCCACCATGAGAGGGGGCACATGGGAGGAAGCTGGGCCAGGGATGGGAAGGAAATGGCTGGGCAGGCCCTGACCTCACTACTACAGGAGGAGGCACTGGGCACCTCTGGTTCTCAGCTTCTGACCACCACCCCCCCCACCAGTCCAGGACCTTTGTTCAGACGCAGGGGTGAAAGGGGCTTGAAGCGGGGAGAGCCCAGCTACCCACCCCTGCAGGAGCCACTCCATTGGTGCCAGAACCAGGTGTGCAGGGCCCAGCTCACCCCAGCACAGGTCATCCTGATGCCCACTGGAGCCCATGGTGCCTGCCTATCACCCTCCTCCCAATAGGGTGCCTCCTTGGGCAACTCTTGGTGAAGATGACCCCAGTCCCCTTCATGGGGATCCCCCATGTGTGCCCTGCACCCTGCCCAGTCACCCCTCCCTCCCCCGACCCCACACCCTTTAGTGAACACTCCCAGGCCTGCCCCCTCCCAGACCTTGACACCCAGGTGCACCTGGGCCCCTTCTCCCCAAACCTCGTCCTAGATCCCACTTGAGTGGCCCCCACCCGTACTTGCTCTAACATGTAGCTTTGGGTGAGATTCCCTCTGAACAAAGGTCCCAGCAAATGCCAGGGCCTTGTTCCTTGAGGGGCCAGCACCCCCTCACACACCCTCCTCTCCTGCTGGCCCAGCCCAGAGCCAAGCTCCCACTGGCTGTCTCCCATCAGCACTGGGCAGCCGTGGGCCTGGCCTTTGCCTCCCACTGTCCCATCTCTGTGTTGGGGTCCTTCTTGCACCCCACAGCCCCAGGACAGGTCACAAGCAAAACTCCCAGCTCTGTGCTTGAAGCCTCCAGACACAGAGAAATACGTTCCAGATGGGACAAGACAGAGAGGGAACTTGAAGTGATGGAGTAGGAAACCATTTTAAATAAGGTTTTTTATTTTACAACACATGTGAT